TGCCCCACTGCAGGGGGCGGGGAGTGAGCGAGCGGCTGTGTGGTGTTTGGCTGCCTGCCGGGTTAAACCACTACAGCTGCACATATGGTTTTTTGTGGAGCAAGTTTATGGTGTAGAGCATCATCATGAAAGCAGGAATTTGTTTTGAGAAGTGACTGTGGTATGTTGTAAGGGGGAAGTGCTGGACTACCCATCGTTTTGGGCAGAGCCAGGGTCCTTCTCCCTTCGCCCCTGCTGCTCAGGAAACTTCTGTTCTTTGGTGAAACTCTATTTGTGTAAAGCAATGTCTCAGTGCTATTTTTATACTGCAGGTAATATGATTATATGGCTCTACTGGTGTTATTTTTGTACTGCAGGTGATATGATTATATGGCTCTACTGGTGTATCACTGGGATCTGTGTGTTACTGGTGGGATCAGTCATAGCAGGTGTGATTTGTATGACCAAAAAACGAGCAGGTAAGACTCATACCAGCTAGGAAGAAAAAAATTCAATACTAATACTATATTTTTCCTACTTCTGTACCTATTCCTATTGCTGTTTTCTTCCGTGCTGTTCTGATGTCTTGCTACTGAGATAATGCCTATGTAAACACCTTCTGGTTTACATCATAGGACTTGTAACATCCTAATACCATCCCCCTAGTTAAATAAAGCCTTCCATGGGTTATGCTGTCTAATACTCCATTTTCATAGCGCTTCAGAGCTCATGAGGGGAAAAAGGAACTTCATAGTTCAGCCCTTTGTTTCCTGCAGGGTTGCTACAGATATCTCTTCCATTTATTTTTCTCCTGCATTGCATAAGAGTTTTGCAGGACAGAAGCTTCCTGTTTGTCTGGACTGTAGTCTTGCCCCTGTCACCCAAAGTCTCTATAAAATTCATTTTTATACTCTTTTGAGCTTGAATAATGTTTTTGAATTACAATGGAAGAAGAAAAACAGGATACAGAAGTTGACACTGAGCAGGTTGGAAAATTGGGTACTTAAGGACTAATTCGTAGTCTTTTGTGCTGCAGCCATGAGGCAGTTATCACAAGGAAACTGCAACTCACTGAGTTTTTTTTTTTACCTGAGAGGAGTAATTGGAAATCTTCTGGAAAATTTCTTAGCATCAAACTTATCTATAAGATGTAGCTAGGGACATTTTAAGTCACCTCTTCAGAGAAGCCTCTTAAGAAAAAGCTATCTTTAAAAAATCCTCTTCTCCTTAAGGAGAGGTAACAGAGCAATTGGGGGCTCTGTACTTCTTGAGGCCAGATCTGGGGAAGATGGAGAAAATTTGTTTTGAGTGCATTCCTTCTCCTCTCAAAGGAAAAATTTAGCAAAGTACATAGCAAAAGTGGCTGTAGAAGAGTCTTTATTCATTTAGTGTATTTTTTTTATTAGGCTTCTCCCTCCCCATGGTTTTATCCCTGTAAAGATTTTTTTTTTTTTAACCTAATCTTTGGAAGGTCTTGTCATTTTAAGGGTTTAATCTTATTTCATGTTTTCAGAACTGACAGTGACTTTCTCTCTCTTCCAGGACACCAGCAAGGGAAATGCAACCACAATGATTTGCAAACTGGTAAGATGTCCTCCCTGTGTTTTTTCAAGCATATGTAATGCATTCTGGAAGTCTCACACAATTGTCCAGAAGGGGCTCTCATAGGCTCTACTACTCTATACGTGCTTCTCAAAACCAAAACGTAGCCTTAGGATCTTCCTGTTTAGCTAAAAGAAACTTTGTAATATCCAATAGCCTTGGTCAGAGAATATGGAAGTTTAAATGTCGTATTTGGCAGATGGGAGATAATTGCTTTGTCAAGTGGTGAGGCTTTTGACTGAGGCTGTACTGGCAAAAGAACCTTTGCTAATCATAGAATCATAAATAGTTTGGGTTGGAGGGTACCTTTTAAAGGTCATCTAGTCCAACCCCCCTGCCATGAGCAGGGACATCTGCAACTAGATCAGGTTGCTCAGAGCCCCGTCCAACCTGACCTTGAATGTTCCCAGGGATGGGGCATCTACCACCTCCCTGTGCAACCTGTGCCAGTGTTTCGCCACCCTCATTGTAAAAAATTTCTTTCTTCTATGTAGTCTAAATCTACCCTCTTTTAGTTTAAAACCATTCCCCCTTGTCTTGTCGCAACAGGCCTGGCTAAAAAGTCTGTCCCTATCTT